AATGTACTGTCAATGTTCAAACCAAGTCAGTGCCTACTTCGTGTCAGGCACTGTGCTGTTTTCTTTTGTTTTTCACAAACGTTATCTCACTTAATCCAAGTTACAAGTATTTCAAGATCTAAGTATCTCATTTGATACAAGTTAGAAGTGCCTTGAGATTATTTGGTTCAACTCATACTTGAATGGGAATACCCTCTGTAAACTACCACTTAAAGCAATCACTGGTGAGGAACCCACTAAGCGCCTGGGGCAGTCTAATCCACTTAACAACTGTACTGTCAGGATGATTTCCTCTAATATATTTCCTACCTGCTCTAATATGGACCCCCAAAAACCTTATCCTAGGTTTGAGGGACCCTGTGGGTCAGTATTCACTCAAAAACATGCCCCCAAACTGTTTAAATTACCAGTAAGTCCAAAGACATTTTTAAAAAAAGATATTTAATCAAATAGCATGGTAAATAATGCAATGATACCCCCATGCACACATGGGGTACATTTTCCCACAGGTTACCACAGCAGCAGTTGGGAAGAACACACAAGCAGAAAACATAAAATAATAATAATAAATAACAATAATAACTAACATTTATTTATATAGTACTTACTATGTGCCACGAGGTGTACTAAACACTTTACAATTATTATCTCATTTGATCCTCACAACAACCCTGGGAGGTAGATGCAACTATTTATCCACATTTTACAGATGAGGAAACTGAGGCAGACAGCAGTTAAGCGATGCCTAGGGCCCCACCACTAGTGTCCAAGGCCAGATTTGAACTCAATTTTTTCTGAGCATAGACCCATGACTCTATCTATCCACACATATGATCCAGAAACACTAAGAGACATACGTAGCAAATATGGGAACATGTTAAGGGAAACACATGAAGTACTCTTGGGGACATGGCACATGTGAGGCTTGAGGGACTCACATCTCCAATATTATAGAATGGCTGACATTCTCCGGTAATTTAAACCAAACTATTCTCTGTTGGGTGAAGTCTGCCTTCCACCATGCACCACATCACCTCCACTGGTTATCATTTCAAGCCTGGGCTGTGTTGTCTCTGATATCTTAGTGCTACTGACATGCACTCTGAATGAATTTCAACCACTAGGAGCTACCTACTATTCTCTTCCCATCTCCTGGAGTACAGAGTTCAGAAGCCCTTTCCTGGAAAGGTCAGGCTGATGGTCTCATAGTACACAACTTAGGATTATAACATACCACAACCATCTGGGGAACTAACAAAAGCCACTTGAATCCACCCAGACTTAAGTTTTTTTTTCCTTTTGAATCCTGGAGTCTGATGATGATTTCAAGTCCATGGTGGTAGTTAATGATATGACTTAGGGTTAGAAAACTCCTTATAGCTCCTGTTATAACCCTGATCATTAGCTTGTCCCTGTTCAAGCATTTCTTACATAATGGCTCCCAAGCTCCAACTGGAGTTAAGCGTCAGAATGAGATTTTAAGGCTCATCTTCCTCCTAAGATCCACTAAGATGCTAATGATGTTCAGAATGTTTCTCTATAGTTATTTTATGTGTGTTAAGGTTTCCCTTCTGGTTAAAGGCTCTTTCACATTTATAACAGATATTGAGTTTTGTTTCTACATCTGTTATTGCATCTTTATTAAGTTTTCCCTTCCGGATGAAGGCTTTTCCACATTTACTACACTGAAAGGGTCTCTCCCGATTATGATGGTAAGTTAGGCTTTCCTGATTGGTGAAGGCTTTCCCACAATCATTACATTTATAGGGTTTCTCTCCAGTATGAATTCT